GTTAGATAGAAGTTGTTTGACCTTGTTTTCGTAACTTGTTCATATTGACAGGAGGACCTAGAGGAACGCATTTTGTTTTGAATCCATTGTATGCATACTAATTTGCAGAGTCGGACCGTGGACTCTGACGTTTCGCTGGCATCGTCATTGAGTCCTGCCATTCTATCCCTAATACCAAGTCCATGCCTTGCCGTGCCTTGGTCTCTTGTGTGCCAAACCACAAATGCTGTGTTACTGCTTGCTTTGATTAGGTTCAATGTTGAACCACAAGTTTGTGGATTGGCACAAGTCATGGACTTGGTGTTAGGGATAGAAACAGGATAGACGCTGCGGAGATTAGAGCCAGTTGGCTGACAGTATGTTTTACCATAGACGTGGTCCATGCAGGAAAAGGCTTGATCACGATACTTAAAGGCTTTAGCCTCGAATTAGTCACCTAGATACAGCGGAGGGGTAATAATGCCTTTAGTAGCACAAATGGGGTGGCAGGGGTCGAGTGAAATACTGGAACCAGGGAGATAGGTGATGGATTCTACTGGACGAGAGGGAGACTATGATAAGACCTAGGGAAGGAGGACTGGGTAACAATATGGCAGACTCTGATCAGCATTACCAGCACAAGAGTGAAGGGGAATGAGAACGCTGTGGAGTATTGAGGATTCTCATGAAAGCAACTCAAAAAAGTACACCATACTACATTTAAATTAGCACGGGAAAAATGTAACAATGGTAGCGTGATACGAGGATCTAGGAAAGGTAAATAGTCCAGGACAGAAGATACCACAACTGTTTAGCACGCATTTGGTTAAGGGATCGACTTCACTTGTCTCTTTGACGAGTTGCAGTATGGTGCTACGAATAGCGAGACTCACTGACGATGCCGGCGAAACTTCTGAGAATATACTAAGTCCACGCTCCGACTCCGGAAATTATTATGCTTACTATGGGCTTAAGACAAGGTGCGTTCCTCTAGGCCTTCTTGCCAATGTGAACAAATTGCGAAAACAAGGTAAACAACTTATAAACTCAATTTTATCGAAGTTTAAAATTATTGTAATGACTTATTAACTGTGAAAGTGATCTATAAGAAGATTTGTAGGTCTATCTCGTCAGAATGCGGTGGCTGCTTCCTTTTTTAAATTGTTTATATTTACAACTTTAATGGTGACGCAGTCCATAGTTTGGGACGTGGCTAGAGCTAAAACTCATTCTTGCAGAAGCTTCCCGAGTCAAGAATACCTTACATGCTATATATATTCACGACCACAAACTACCGGTCCTTCATCACTCTAAACGAAATAAAAGGAATATATTTCTTATTCAAGATTTTCCTTCTTAAAAATAAAACAGCAATTACGAATTCGACTCTGCTTTATCGACATGAATTTTATATAGCAAGGCTTTGACTTCGCGTCTGTCTCGTGGCCTCGTGGCAGGGATTTTGCGTCAAAGCTATACGCTGCACTAATGTTAAAGTCCCGCTGAGGGTGCTTATAGGATCTAGGCAAGGTTGAAATTGTAGTCCATCCTGTCGTAGTGACAAGTGAAGGCAATCTTGAATAATTTTATGGTCAAAAATTGTAGAATCCATTTTTTAGACTCCAGGCCCTGAATCCTACTTTATAAGGCCAATTTTCCTCTTGCGTTTCTTTATTTTTGTATCACATTCCTCATGCGTGTGACTCTTCACATATATATTTCTTGAAGCGTAATTAACTTCATTCCCAGTTTCGCATTTCATCTGTAGATCATTCTGATCCCACTTAGTATCTCCTTCAACAAGTCATTTTTCAACTTATTTTAGATGGTCCCTACTGTATATCGGACTAATAATCGATTTCAACTACTATATACGTCATACTTGGACTGGCTCCAAATGTATGTGCATCCTAGCTTTGTCTCCCTTTTAAGTACCCTTTGTTCGCAACCCCGATCTTCCAGTTTCACATTTTCCCAAGCTCTCCTTTCACCCTAGGTCTGGATTTTTTTTAACCTCCGTTTTGAAGATTCACTATTCAATTATCCACTTCTGCTTAAAGTATAGCATTTTTCTTGTTCTCTCATTATATTAATATCTATACCACTTTGATACGACCTAACTGATGTTCCCCTTCGCCCAGTTCCGCATGTGCACGTAGATGCCATGTATGATATCATGACTGACTTCCATTGCTTAATACGTGTGGTGGAACTCAAATGAAATTATGCCTTCAGTCTCCACTGCAGCATTCAAATCGACTTGAGGTAGATCAATATCCTATTGGTATCATAATGAGATTATTTAACCATATCAGGCTAGTCTTTCATTTGTATTTAGTTGTAATTTGTGGCTGGTAAGTGCGTTTTGTCCGTTATTCTGAAGTCACTGGTGTTCTTTCTTCTTATATTGTTTTTTAATGCCTCAGTCATAAAATTGCGATCTCTACCACTCACTTTTCTCCAAGGATGTAGAAGGTAAATAATAAACTCTTGCGCCCTTATTGAATCAAGAGGACTTATCAAAAACTTAGTTAAGAACAGTCTGCTATGCGGAAGGACCTACATCAGCTCGGAAAAAGATTCATATAGAAATTGTCTTATTAATTTTTAGCTTAAAACAAGGTCCAACAGAATGGCTTACGTTTTCGTTGAGCCTATAGGAACATATATATATATATATAATATAAATGAGCTGTGTATTTTAAAATAGCTGAACGACTGTTCGCAAGTCATATTTCAGTGTAGTCACGAAGGGTTAATGGGTTTCGATGAATCTCTTTCGATTACATTTATATCTATATTTTTTAAATGAGTATATATAAATATATAGCGTGTGGTATAAAATGGGATGGTCTTTTTGACTTGCAAAATGAACAGTGGATTCCAACTCTAGTGATGTCCGTTATGATGCCCGAAACGAGGGCGGATGCTTTGTGGACTGCTTCAGCTTGAACGTCGTTTTAAGACAAGGGGTTGCAAAACAACGGGAATTAGCTGTCGTCTTCCGGTGAGACCAACCAACGATTATCCTCTTACATTTTCATTTGAAATGAAAGTCTTCCCCAGAAAGTCATATTTCAGTTCCTAGCCATAATTAGGTCGAAATTCCCAAAAAAACTTGCTATGCGTTTGGTGGAATACTATACAGGTTCATCATTTTGCTGCCTTTCATTTTGTTTTAGAAGACGAGTGGAAGGGGTTCACAAATTGGCTTCATTAAAATCCATAGAGTTTGGTTGGATTTCTTCGGTGTTAGTTTGCGACATGGATTAATGGATTTAATATATAGATTACTGAAATGAATTGCAAAACGATCTAGTCATCAGAAATTTAAGGTAATTTTTCTAGTTAGTATATTATTGTGTAATATCCGAGATTCTCCTTTTGTTTATTTGAGCGGTCATTTATTTGCGCATAAATCACTTTTAAATGACCCCACCCAAATTTGATGAATTTATTCCTCTAAGGGCGTTGCCATGGTGATCAACTACGACCTTCCTACTTGTGCAGACGATTACATCCATCGTGTCGGACGTACCGGGCGTGCAGGTCAGCTGGGTGGTTGGGGTGCCAACAGAATTGGCTTTGGTCATGCCATCAGTCTCTGGACCAATGCTGATTTGCCCTACTTAGCTCCCATTATTGTCTGTTTGAGGCACAGTGGTGCAGCCGCGTGCTCCGAAACTGAATTGGTTCGTCTCGAAAGTTTGGTCGATAGCTGGAAGGCCAGGAGACAGGCTTCTATCCTCTCCGGAAGGACAAATGCAAAATATGGGCAGATCATGCAAACGAGACGCTTCAACCGAGTGAGACTTAATGTTCCTATGCCTACAAATTCGCCTTTGGCTTTTCATCTAACAACTCAAGTCTCGTTCGTCTTAATAAGATTTTAATTCGCTTATATATATTATCAAGAACCTCAAACCTGGTGGTCTAGAGCATTATGAGGACTAGCTAAGTTACTTTGATCGAGTGTCCGATGCTTAACTCACCTTTTCTAATTGATTAAGCCTGATCAGAATATCTTCATTAAAAGCATCACCAATATTGATTTTCTTTAACTCCTAGTTCGCCCATTTTCATGGAATTTTTCAAGGGTCTTTCGGTACATACAAAATTACTCCTGCAGTATTTAATTGACGGATAAAATGATTTAGATAGCAGTGGCTCCCATCTTGTTGATCCCTATTGTTTCTTGTAGACCCTCGAAAACATTCCTAATCACCGAATTCTACTTTGCTTTAAAGGAATTTATTCGACGATGGACAGTTTTATCTTGATTAGAGCAGCGCTATTATTGAGTCTACTTCATCGTATGAACCTGAATTAAAGATATACTTATTTATATCTTCAAGTTTATACTGGATTTAATTTTCTATTAACTACGTGGCTGTGTTGAATTTACTTTCAGTAATTCATAACAATTTTGATTAATAATCATTTGGAGTCTATCTTTTAGACTGACTAACTCCCCTGCAGAGGACTCATATTTTGATACTAGTTATGGCGGACTACGTTGACTTCGCATCGCCTGTTATTGTCCAATTGTTAACGAAAACTAAGATTTTCCCATTTATTAACAAATACTTTCTCAACTGGCTTTTGCTTGTGTCTGGTCCTCTATTCAAACCCAAAGATCCTCTACGCTGCCTGCTACTCTGTAAAAACCAAACTAATTATAAGCGTACGTAGTGTTCGAGAAATAATACTTCATGCACATAAAGAACGCACTTCTTCAGTATCTCTATTCCTATTTATAATAGTAAATAATTCAGTTTTACTTATGGGGCGTACACTGCACATTTTTCGCCACTGAACGATGTTCCACCTGACCTTTTGTCTATGCTGAGTCTGTTAACTATAAGTGCTTCAGTGCGATTTTATCAATGCCAATTTTGACCAGTATCTCAGTGTTTGTTGATGTATGATTAATATTAACATAGACTTCTTCAACATCGTATTTCGTAATCCAATGATTGGGGTAAATGCCTTGCTTGCTATTTTTAGCCCACTCAAGTCAATCCACAAGACTTTGTTATTTCTACACGACGTCGAGAACGGAGATTGGCTGTTGCCTTACAAAAGCAGAATCGAAAAAGAAAATATTCGGAAGAGAGACAATCATTTTCAACAGCCCATATTCGGCAAGTCATTTGCATTATATGCTTTACTTGATCAATTTCTTGAAGCATGGACAATAACTGTATCCAACCCATTTCGTCTAGAGTAATAAAGGACTAGCAGTTAAATGAGTAGCTCTCAAGAATTTCACTGTCTTTCTTCACAAAAGGTATTCTTATAAAGGGTGGACTTCAGTTTCAACATATATCACCTTAGCACCCCGAACGGGGCTCGAACCTGGATAGTGCAGTGTTAGCTTTGACACAGCCTCTACGCCGCACTACCACCAGTGCATTTCAGTCATTGGGGAACCTTGAATTTAGAGAAGAGTAAGTCGATTAAGCTATTACAAAAGACTATCTGGACGAGAATATCTTTAGCGAAACTATGCGAAATTCAATAGAGGCGTGAGGTCTACTGATACCAGTGGCAAAATTCATCATCTTAAACGAAGTAGGCCGAATTATTATTAAGGATCTACTGATACTCTCTAAAATCTATTTCAACGCGAAAATCCTTAAGGATAGATATGAAGACCAAAATGGTGTATTCTTTTGTTTGATAGAAGTCCCTTTCAGGTAAATAGTGTTGATTTAAACTCGTTTCCGCAACTTGGTCCTGTGTCCTCAATAATATTTTTGGTTTCAAATATCGGGTCGCTGATTTGGTACATTTTCATGTCATGCTCATTTTCATTACATTCCCATGCACCAAGTCAACGGTTCGATGCTTGAAATCATGAACACAATGGCCAAGGACGTAGGGCTAGATATGTCTCACGAGGTCTTCCTGTCTCCTCGACCAAGTTGCGAAAACGAGGCCAAGCCAACACTGTCCCGAATAAATAAATCTGAATTTTAGACAAGTTCAGTTAATTAAATGACTGACAATTTAATAATTATCTTCGATTTGCTTCCTCCACACTATCATTCATCACACTTGAATTTTCGTTCAACTTCACGTGAAGGACAAAATC